GCTCACGGCTCGGGGAGAGTGACCTAGTAGCGATCAGTGAAGAGGCGGGGGCCAGGAGCTCGGACTCGACCCCCGCAACCTCAACTAGGTGAGTACAACTAGGTGAGTACACACACACACACACACACACACACACACATACACACACACACACACATCACACATACACACACTCCTGGATACCATACCATTCATTGATCCATGAACCTACTAAGGTAACGAAAAATGGCAATATGGATCACAGAAAATCTAGAGGAGAAAGTGATGGTCAGGGCTGTTGTATAACAATGGTCAGGGCTGTGGTATCACAATGGCCAGGGGTGACATGAGGGGTTCCTCAAGAATCAGTGTTGGTACCACTTCTCTTCCACCCTCACAGAACGAAGCGACACACTGGAAGACACACCATCATATAATTCGCTGTTCACCGATGATGACGAAATGAGGAGAATAAGAACACCATATAAAATACTAAACGTTTTTCTTAGGCTTCATCAGCCGATTAGCGGATGAAGGATCGAGCCTCCACCACTCCTTAGGCCGAATGACCCACACAAGTTTAGAGCTTCACATAAATAAATTAAAAAAATATATATTAAGCCAACTTGTTTCTCGATTTCGTCTTTGTTAGCGCGTTTTAGAACTTTTTTGATATTTTTAATCTATTATGAAGCGATGTATATATATATATATATATATATATATATATATATATATATATATATATATATATATATATATATATATATATAACAAAACGTGTAGCGCATGCTGCACGCCAAGGTATTGGTCCAGTGTGGATAGATTGGTAAAGCACTGCGTACCTTGTCCTAAGGTTCGTAGGTTCGAGTCTCCTTCAGCCAGAGATCAGTGTTTGTGTATATTTCGCATGCTCTCGCGAATTCCTTGCATATATATATATATATATGTGTGTGTGTGTGTGTGTGTGTGTGTGTGTGTCGTGCCAAATAGGTAAAACATGCGATTTTGGCTTAAATACTAACGCTATTCTTGCCGAATAAGGCAAGCAAACATTAGCGTATGCAATAATTTTGCAAAAATCGTTCTAAACCTATTGAAAAAAATATATTCCATTATGTTTGTTTATTATTTTATTATTGTAAACTTGTCTAAAATATGTTTAGCTGGATTAGTCTAAACTAAATTGCGCTTGTTATAACAAGGTTAGGTAAGTTTCCTAAGGTTCTTTTGGAACAAAATTATTAATATTTACATTAAGATAAATTAAAAATATATATCTTTAAACGAATAAGAAAATTTGAAACAGGACTTAATTTTAAATGAGTTCTTGTCACTTGACCAGTTTAGAAGGTAACACAGTGGGAGCAATCAGAATAATTACAAGTGACGACACTGTAGCTCCCAAATATGCGACCACAGCCCAGGCACACCTCAAAGAGATGTTAAATCCAGTACTAGGTACATCTGCATCAATTCTTCTCACCGAGTTAACAACTTTCGTCAACAACTGTCTGGCTGGGCGAATCCCAGAAGAAATCAAACCTTTCTTTTTTGGAGCCTCACTACGTGTTATTAAGAAGAAGGATTGGGGATTCAGACCCATTGCTGTTGGGTCTTCGCCGTTTCGTTGCCAAAGTAGCAGTAAGAAGCATTCGCCTAGAAGCTGCCAGTTTACTCCAGCCATACCAACTGGGCTTTGGGGTCTGTCAAGGCAGTGAAGCTGCAGCTCATGCGGCAAGGGCTGACATCAGAGACCTACCAGAAGACAAGGCCTTAGTCAAACTTGATTTTAGAAATGCTTTAAATATGGTGAAGAGAGGTGTGGTCTTGCCGGCTGTTCGGGATCGGTTCTCCAGTCTTTTTCCCTTCATTTCAGCTGGCTACAGCAAACCTTCAATTCTTTTGTTTGGCGAACATGAAATTCTCTCATCAGAGGGTGTTCAGCAGGGTGATCCACTCGATCCACTTCTCTTCTGCTTGGCAGTAAGAGAACTAACTTCAAGCTTACGCAGCAAGCTCAACATTTGGTACCTGGATGATGGTACTCTGGCAGGTACTGAAGCGTCCCTGTTAGAGGACCTACAACTGGTGAAGACACAGGGAGAGGCCTTGGGACTCATCAACAATCCCTCCAGATGCGTAAGGCTCTCAAGAGCATTGTGAGGAACATACTCCTTTTTACCCTGGTTTCGTGGTTGAAATAGTAGAGAATGTATGACGACACATTAGTTCATGTAATCACCCACCGGAATGGGATGCTGCCCAGAATATAGTACCAAACAGTTCTGTCATGGAAAGAAACATAATTGAATCATCCCTCTTGAAACACGAAAGGAATATAGTATATAACTCAAATTATGGGTTATACAAGCTCGATAGCTATTTAGTAGAGTCCAATGTACACAGTCTTAAACAACAATGCTACACTAAATCACAGAATTGCTCATTATACCAGGTGGGTTGATGGTTTGGTGACGCCCGACCAGTGTCTACGTTCCAAAACTTCATACCACGTCAGTTGTGACGCGTTTAGCTGTTGGAGTACCATATAGTGACAAGCACACAAGATAACATAAGGAGAGGTTAAAGGGTATTGGCAGAAATTTGAAATTTAGATCATAGAAATATTATCGGAAAAGCTTAGAAGATTCCCAGTAAACAATATTTAGGAAGAGATTCTTCTGAGTACCTCAGTAGAACATTCGAGTACCCCAGAGGAAGACATTTAAACGGGCATAGAGCACATTCCATTCCTTTCTTTTTACCATTTAAAAAGGTTACATAGAATATAGCAATCCATGTGTACAGTATCCAACGAAAAAAGCATTTTCTCAAACCACATGACATGTTATAAACAACTAGAAAAAGATAGGGGCTAGCTATTAATTCTTGTAATTTAATATTTGACATCTCAGAAAGCTTCCTACCCCATAAGAGGGAGTAGGGGGATGGCAGTAGGGTGGGGATGGCACTGACCATTGACCACATTCAAAGGGAAACCGTGGATGGTGACACATCCACACTACGCTACACTGAGGACTCTCCCTGCTTTAGTTGCTCTCTTGCAACGCTTCACAGCTCCTGATGATGATGATATATATATATATATATATACAAACACTGATCTCTGGCTGAAGGAGACTCGAACCTACGAACCTTAGGACAAGGTACGCAGTGCTTTGCCAATCTACCCACACTGGACCAATACCTTGGCGTGTAGCATGCGCTACACGTTTGATCCAAGGCAGCCAGCTTTCAGGGAGAAGGCTTACAGCTTTTCATCTCATCCCCTGCATGCATCAGCCTTACTAGAGATTTGAAAAGCTGTAAGCCTTCTCCCTGAAAGCTAGCTGCCTTGGATCAAACGTGTAGCGCATGCTACACGCCAAGGTATTGGTCCAGTGTGGGTAGATTGGTAAAGCACTGCGTATATATATATATATATATATATATATATATATATATATATATATATATATATATATATATATATATATATATATATAATATATATATATATTATATATAAGTCAATTCAACAAGTGATCAATGCAGTGAGATCAAAACTACCAGGAGCAACAGTCATTGCCTCCACAAATAGTGTCTTGCTAGGAGCACCTGCGTATATATATATATATATATATATATATATATATTATATATATATATATATATATTATATATATATATATATATATATATATATATATATATATATATATATATATAATATATATATATATATATATATATTATATATAATATATTTATAATATATATATATATATTATATATATAAATATATATATATATATATATATATATATATATGCAATAAGATCACAGTAAACAGGTGATTTCAAAATATGCAAAACACCACTCTGAAAGAATAGAGAAATTCCAAGCGCTTTCGTGACTACTCCACATTATCAGGAACTATGAAGTGAAGCATCCAAGGAAGCTATATAAGGGGTCGGCCAGCACCTCACTCTCAGATCCCACAACGGTTAAACACGTGACGCGCGGCGAGCCAACTTGGACAGGTCCTTTGCAAAACTCACCCCCAAGCTATTTATTTGTCCAGTGTATTATTAAATTCTACCCAAATTCTATTAATTATAAATGGATCTAATTTATATAAACCAAAGGAAATATTCATATTATTGTCAAAACTGCTTTTTATGAAACAAGATTCAATTATATTCCTGTCGATCATGGACTTGCTTGATACTACTTTCTCAACTTTTTGAAAATCAATTTCATGGTTAAAATCTCTTACATGAATAAATAGAGATTTATCAATTGATAAATCTTTTAAAGTTGCTAGGAACACTTTTTATAATCCAAAAAAGGGCAACCAGCCTTATTCAACTAAAAATATGTTGGTTCTCCCTTACCATGAAAACTTGGTTGATATGCCTTCTCTTCTTAAGACTTTTAATATTAAAGTTGTATTCAAAAATCTTGATACAGTAAAAAAACTTTTGATTAAGAATTCCCCCCAAAATGCTGATGGATGTGTCTATAAGATTCCTTGTAAAATTTGCGATAAAGTTTATTACGGTCAAACTGGTAAAAATCTCGAACTAAGATTAAAACAACATAAATATAGCATTAGAACTGGACAAGATTCCAATGCTCTATTTATTCATGTAAGAGATTTTAACCATCCAATTGATTTTCGCCTTATAATCGGTGATACACACGTAACAACATGTACTGTATATGCCACCTTTATATCAACAATGTATCTCTTAATTTTTTGTATATGTATATATATATATATATATATATATATATATATATATATATATATATATATATATATATATATATATATGTATGTATATATATATATTTGCTCCTTTCGGTGTATATAAATTGAGAATTGCATACTACCTCTCTGTGGATGTAGTCTGAGAGACACACCCATCTCTTTCTCTCTGTATCTCTTGAGAGAGATATACATTTCTCGGTGTTCATACCTGGGTGGCATCTAAGTGAGGTTCTTCCTGCAGGTGTTCAAGGTGGTGGTTCAGAACGAGAAGAGATGCTGGTTCGTGCTGCGGCGATATCAAGAGTTTCTCCTCCTACAGGAGGTAATCAAAAGCAAGGTATGGTGTTAACTCTGACCCATAGTGTTTTCAAATAATAATGATACTACTACTACTACTACTACTACTACTACTACTACTACTACTACTACTACTACTACTACTACTACTACTATTACTACTACTACTACTACTACTACTAATAATAATAATAATAATAATAATAATAATAATAATAATAATAATAATGATAATAATAATAATAATAATAGTAATAATAATTGTTTATTTAAAACTACATTAAAATTCTTACAATTTTTTGATAAGAGCTTCGTGTTGTGTGTGTTCAGGTCCCTGACGCAGGTATCAGCCTCCCGCCTGAACAGTCACTTGATGACCTCCACTTAGACAACTTCATCAAGGAGGTCATGGTAGAGCCCAGGATCGTCACTCTGTAAGTACCTTAGAGGTCATTGTAGAGCCGAGGATCGTCATTCAGTAAAAACATAAAAACATAAAAAAGAAGGAACACTGCAACAGGTTTACTGGCCCATGCGAGGCAGGTCCAAGTCACCCACCGGTTCAAGCCTTGTAGGGCAAGTCACATCTCCTTAAGGAAGGAGCACGACATCAAACCCAGCAGCACAAGCTAGTCGGGTCCATCTCACACCCACTCACACCCACTCATGTATTTATCCAACCTATTTTTAAAACTACACGATGTCTTAGCGTCTATGACGGTACTCGGGAGTTTGTTCCACTCATCCACAACTCTATTACCAAACCAGTGCTTTCCTATATCCTTCCTGAATCTGAATTTTTTCAACTGGAAACCATTGCTACGAGTCCTGTCTTGGCTGGATATTTTCAGCACTCTGTTTACATCTCTTTATTTATTCCTGTTTTCCATTTATACACCTCGTTTATATCCATTCTGTAATACGGTGACCAGAACTGAGCAGCATAATCTAATTGAAGCCTAACCAAGGATATATAGAGTTGAAGAACTACCTGAGAACTTCTATTATTTATGCTTCTTGATTTTAAATTACTGGTAACCAGAACTCCTAAATTCTTTCAGGAATCAGTAATATTAAGACCTACATTATTTAGTTTATATGTGGCATGGTTATATTCCTGTCCAACATTTAGAACATTGCATTTGTCTATATTAAACTACATCTGCCACTTCTCCGACCACTGCTTCAGTCTATTCAAGTCTTCCTGGAGTGCTTCAATGTCCTCATCAGAATAAATTGGACGGCCTATTTTGCTTATGTCGCTATTTATTCCCTCATCTATGTCGTTAATGTAAATTGTGAACAACAAGGGGGCCCAACACTGACCCCTGAGGAACACCGCTTGTGATGTGCCCTCATTCTGATTTCTCCCCATTTATGCAAACTTTCTGATGCCTATTTGTCAACCATTCCTCTACCCAGGGAAGAATTTATCCTCCTACTCCGTGTGCCTTAAGTTTCCTCAACAGCCACTGATGTGGAACTTATCGAAAGCCTTACTGAAGTCCATATACACAATATTATATTCACTACCATGATCCACCTCCTCAAATTCCTTGGTGAAAAAAGTTTATACATTCGTTGGACAGGACTGCCCCTTTGTAAAACCGTTTTGAGATTTATTAATCAGTTTATGCCTTTCAAGATAGCTACGAATTTCCTCGGCAATTATTGATTCCATGAATTTTCTATTTCTTATTGGTCTATAGTTTGAAGGTAAGGACCTGTCTCCTGCTTTGTAAATAGGTATTACCTTTGCCATTTTCCACTTGTCTGGCACTATGCGAGATTGTAGTGATATGTTAAAAAGATTAGCTAAAATTCTGCTAAGTTCTTCTTTACATTCCTTTAAAATCCTTGCAAACAGTTCATCAGGCCCTGGGGATTTGTTAGGCTTTAATTACTCTATTTATCTGAGGACCATGTCACTAGTTACCTCAATCGTGTATAGTTTATAATCGTCCTGTATTACATAATTTATTATTTCTGGAACTTCGCTAGTATCTTCCTGAGTAAAAACTGAGAGGAAGTAAGTGTTGAAAATTTCACATATTTCCTTATCACTGTCGGTGATCTGAATTGAGTTACTTTTAAGTGGGCCTATCTTGTCCCTAATCTTACTTTTGTATACCTGAAAAAAAACCCTTTTGGGTTAGTCTTCGAATCCCTTGCGACTTTAGCCTCATAATACCTTTTTTGCTTTTCTTATTCCCTTTTTTATTTCTCTCTTTAACTGAATATATTGATTTCTTAACTGCCCATCCCATCTTTTGATACGCCTATATATGCCTCTCTTTTGACCAATGAAATGTTTTAATCTATTGTTTATCCATTTGGGATAATTTTTGTTAGATCTAATTTCCCTACTCGGAACATAAGTTGTCTGGGCAGCTAAAACTGTGCTCTGAAAAACGTCATATTGGCAACCATCACCACCTACCTGACCCATGACTCAAGAAATCGTAATGACACGATTGCAAACAAATCATACCCCCGGCCGGGATTGAACCCGCGGTCATAGAGTCTCAAAACTCCAGCCCGGGCTGGAGTTTTGAGACTCTATGACCGCGGGTTCAATCCCGGCCGGGGGTATGATTTACCTGACCCATACTCAGCTCCTCCTGTTCTTCAAGGAGAAACTTGAACAACAGGAGGAGAAGGAGGTAATCAGTCCCTCAACCTTAAGTCGATTGATGGACTGACGACATCGACTCAAGGTTGAGGGACTGATTACCTCATTCTCCTCCTGTTCTTCAAGTTTCTCCTTTGTATGGACTGATGAAGCCACTGTGTGGCGAAACGTTTCCTCAATAAAGATACCTAAGAGTTGTATATGTGTCTAATTTATCAATTTGTCGGTTTTCAAAACCATTCATCACAACTGTCAGACACTGCATCATCATGGGTGACACCATTTAAGGGGTGACACCATAGAGCCTCTAAAGAAGGTGACACTAATGCACAAAACAGTGCTGCACCAACGTAAGAAAAGAATCCTTCGTTTCTATATAGCCTATTATATATTAACAAAGTACAAATAAGCCTATATAGGGAAAATCATTGATTTTGATGATGTGATAGATGATTTTGCAGGATTAAAGGCAAGAAAATGTAAGATCAGATTCACTGAGATGTTACCTGTACTCAAGGTCAAATCGGAACTTGTGTTTCTCTGATATTGCAATGTTTTTCTTTATTTTTCAAGTTTCTTTTTTTTTTTTTTTTTTTTTTTTTGCATTGTTGACGATGAATAAATGTAGGACCTGTTGGCTGTACTCAAAGTGGTATTTGAGTTTATGTTTCCTCAATATTACTACGATTATTTATTTTATCATTAATAAAGTTGAGAAGTAGTCTCCTGTTCAGTTTATGGCCCTTAAACGTTCTCATTGTTAAACATTAGTCACTGACTGGTCATGCTGTAGTGACATAACTGGAGTTTACCACCCCCATCCCCCCGCCCTTGAATTTCATGAGGTTGACACCAAAGATGCTGCCCCGGGTGCCACCAACTCTAGCGACGCCTCTGACTGGCAGAGCTGACATCATCAATAACCTTTCTTCTTATGTTCTCAGTGATACAATGTCCGAAGCACTCAGTTTTGGTGTCAAGTTTGCTACAGGCATACCGAAGCGTAAATGCGAGTTAGATACAGTGATCAAAAACCACCACTACAGTGACTCTGAATTTAACAAAGGTTTCATACAAGGACTTATTGCAGCTGCTGTTTCTGAACCTAGTCGTCCAGTCATTCCACGCCGCTACATCCAGGCATTCAAAAACATGGCTACTAATAATGATATTACCATCACCACAGCGGACAAAGGAGGAGGAGTGGTCATCCTCAACAGTACAGACTACGTTAGTAGATGCAAAATTTATTAAACGACCCCAACACATACGCTTCCATCCACGAGCATACATGGAAGAAAGAAATATTTCTTTCTCAGTAAGACCCGAAGCATACTCAGGAACCCAGAAGAAGGCAAAAAGCTCTTGCGCTTTGTCCCTACCAACCCCAAGTCAGCAAGGATTTATGGTTTACCGAAGACCCACAACCAAATGTGCCTATGAGACCTATTACATCTGGAATCGGCAGCGCCCCACACAGCCTGGCAGGAGTTTGGGCTAAATATTTATCTAAACTCCTCGGTACGATTAGTCAGGCTCACCTGAAGCATTCGGGTGACCTCCTTAACCGTGTCAGGGATATCGACATGAGTGATTGCCGTGACTGCCTTATTCACCAATGTCCCAGTTGATCAAGCCAATGTCCCAGTTGATCTTTTTCGCAGGGTGATTAACGAAGATACAGAGTTACCTGTACCTCGCCAAGATTTTGTGAGCCTCGTCGAACTTTGTGTTCGTTGTAACTGCTTTAGGTTTGAAGTTGAGTTGAAATTAAGACACATGTGCAACATCTGGGTATCTTTACTGTAGACGTTTCGCCATCCAGTGGCGTTATCAATACAAATTCCAGGACATAACTTGAAGACAGTAGAACTATGCACAGAAGATGAGGTAATCAGTCCCTCAACCTTGGAGTAGGTGGGTTATTGAGGCTAAAATCTTGGGTAGTTTCAAATTTAGGTTGGATAAATACATGAGTGAGAAGGGTTGCATTTGAGTGGGACTTGCATATGAAAGTGGATAGAGTTATCAGAGCTTATTTCTTGGGTGGCATTGAAAATTGGGTTGGGCAAATGTTTTGTTAGTAGGACGGATTGTAAAGGACCTGCCTAGTATAGGCCAACAAGCCTGCTGCAGTGTTCCTCCTTTCTTATGTTCTTATAAATAGCTGTTCGGGCTAGCCATGGGATCACCCCTTAGTGCAGTACTTGCCAATTTATATATGGAGGACCTAGAATCTAGACGGATCCTCAGTAATATCCCTAGATCAGTTACATGGATGCAGTACGTTGATGATATTTTGGTCATTGTACCCTAAAATCTAGAAGTACGTGGCATCCTCAACACCATCAACACTCTGGAACCTACTATTAAATTTACAGTAGAGGAGGAGAAGGACAACTAATTACCTTCTCTCGACGTTCTCCTACACACTGGTGAAAATAGACTCTCTTTTAATTTAAGAACCTGGCCCATGCTTGGTAGGTCTTTCTCAAACCCAAACCCACTAATAAAATTATTCGCCCAAGCCATTGTCAGTGTTACCCAAGGAATAAGCTTCGATAACCTTATTAACTCAAGTGCAAGTCTCACTCAGATACAGTCCCTCTCACTTGTGTATTTATCTAACCTACATTTGGAGCTAACCAAGGATTTAGCTTCAACAACCCTACTAGGTAGACTGTTACATTCATCGACTACTATATTTCGCCTCCCAGTGGCTTTTTCAGTTTAGTACACAGCTTCTAGACTAATCAGAACAACCGTGGCCCTATAAACTCCAAAAACAACAACAACAACATAAATAGAACCAGTGGCTTTTTCAGTTCAGTACACAGCTTTTAAACTAAACAGAAAATGTTAGGTAAAAGGACACAAATGCAACTAATGTGACATTTTATTGTGGCAACGTTTCGCTCTCCAGGAGCTTTGTCAAGCCGTTACAAACAATACATCGACACAGAGGGTATATATAGGCTTAGAGTGAGGTGTAATACTAGTGGTGGTAGTAGTAGTAGTAATATTATTACTACTACCAGAATCGACCAATGTTGAACACATTTTGACAAGTTCTTCACCGTGGTACTAGGTCCTAATAACAGCAGCAATTAGCTTCTCCACAGTTTGAACATTAAAATAGTATAAAATACCGACAGGTTGTTAGGTAAGACACATATGCAACAGTTAGGTATGAAGATTGAGACACTTATGCAACATATGGGAATCTTTATTCAGGAAACGTTTCGCCACACAGTGGCTTCATCAGTCCGATACGAAGTAGAAAGGCGTAAGGAGAGGAGGAGTTTGAGGTAATCAGTCCCTCAGCCTGGAGTCGTTGTGTTCAGTCCATCAATCTTGTAGAATGTACAGCATAGGGCCGTAGACGTGGCTTATATACTGTAGTGAGGTGAGGCGAAGCAGGAGGAGGTGAGGTCATAGTGGAACCATCCACTAGTCGAAGTAGGTCTTCGTCCAAAGGTTGGACAAGTGTTGAAGAATTCTTTGTAACAAGATCCCATGTAACTGTCTGACACTGCAGCATCATGGGATCTTGTTACTAAGAATTCTTCAACACTTGTCCAACCTTTGGACGAAGACCTACTTCGACTAGTGGATGGTTCCACTATGACCTCACCTCCTGCTGCTTCGCCTCACCTCACTACAGTATATAAGCCACGTCTACGGCCCTATGCTGTACATTCTACAAGATTGATGGACTGAACACAACGACTCCAGGCTGAGGGACTGATTACCTCAAACTCCTCCTCTCCTTACGCCTTTCTACTTCGTATCGGACTGATGAAGCCACTGTGTGGCGAAACGTTTCCTGAATAAAGATTCCCATATGTTGCATAAGTGTCTCAATCTTCAACTTGTCGGTTTTTCAAACCATTCATCACAACAGTTAGGTATCTTTATTTCGAAACGTTTCGCCTACACAGTAGGCTTCTTCAGTCGAGTACAGAAAAGTTGATAGAAGCAGAAGAGACTTGAAGACGATGTAATCAGTCCATCACCCTTAAAGTTTTGAGGTGGTCAGTCCCTCAGTCTGGAGAAGAGCATTGTTCCGTAGTCTTCTCCACAGTTGAACAGTCTTGTTTCGCTATCCTGCGTTTGGTTATTGCCCAAAATTCTCAACTGGGTTGAGGTGAAGAGAGTTTTCACTCCAATTTAAACGCTTAGCCCAGTCTCTTAGAAGAATGTCAGTATTTTTCTGTAAGTATGACATAGAGCAAGATCCCGCTGCAAAATGCTTTCTCCATCAGGAAAGTCCCTATCCACAATAAGAAGCAAATGACCTGCCAGGATTTCTTGTATTTGTCACTGTTCATCGTTTCCTTAACAATATGAAGCCGTCCAGGGTCTTTACCAATAAAACTACCCCAAAACACCTTTTTAGGTAGGTGTTTTGACACTTGTTGAATGTGTCCATTCCGAAGATGATCGCCTTTGCTCCGTCTCACTATCACTGATCTGTACCCATTATTATTATTATAATCAAAAAGAAGCGCTAAGCCACAAGGGCTATACAGCGAATCTGTACCCATGTGTTTCAAAATGTGCCACATCTGAAAATACAACTTTTGTCCATTCATCTGTCGTCCATCACTTATGACCGAGTGCCCACCACAGCCTTTTTTTTTTATTCATAGCAGCATTTAATAATTGTCCCTTTACAGGCTTCCTGGCAGTTCTGCCAACTTCAAGGAGCCTTCGTCAAACAGATGAAGAGGAAAAACAATTACGCCAGTTGAAGCTAAATCTCTCTGTAGATCTTTGCTGGTTTTCTTATACTTTGTTGTCGTGAGGTGATGTCTTGGGTTTTATGCCATATTTTCCTCGACACAGCGTCCACCATCACCTGTGTCGTCAGCTCTCTTCAGAATTCGACCAACAGCTGACTTTGCTAGGTTCAAATTTTCGGCGATTCGTCTGATATTCAAATCGGCATGTTTTCTAAGAACTACAATACTTGCATACTTCGTAGTTGTAATAACCATCATAAATTTCAGCAGTAATCATGAACTAAAGGGGAGAATTTGGCGAAACAACATTCACTCATGGAGCATGCTTGCAGGAAGAGCCTTACAAAACAACAGCTGTTGTAGTACTGATGAGAGTCGCATGATAACACCACCGTAGGATGGTTGGCAGAAATCGGTAGTAAACTCTTCTGAAAAGAAAATAACCCAAACCACTTTAATTGAGCTGAGATAATCACAAAATTTACTTCTCTCTAAATTAATTTGCAGACTATTGTATGTGGTTGCAGGGGTTGAGTCACAACTCCTGTGTATGTGTGTATGTGGGGGGGGGGGGTTATGGGGTGGTTGGGTGGAGGGGAATGCAATAACTATGTGGAAATAATATAAGTAATATTAAGCTAATTTTATCAGAAATTTAATGAACCTGCTAAGTTTTAAAGCAAAGAAAATTAATGCAGTATCTATTATTTTTTTTTCAATGCACAGGATAAAAAAAAACCGCAAGAGATAAATTTTTCGAGAAGATTTCCTTGTTAGACCGACAGCGTGTAAACAGCGAGACACACACACGCCAAAACCAACGTATTGTTTTTCATTCTTTCGTTGTGCAGAGTTGAAATTTTATTTATTATAATAAATTCCTTTATTTCTTTGTTTATGACCAAGATGTTTTAAAGTTAAATATTTGTTTAGTAACTTATTTTGAGCAAATTTAATATAATACTAGACGGCTTTATTTTTTGTATTGACTTGGTCACATGGTCTTGTGATGACCGTCTCAGTGGCTAAGCAGCTGCTGATGGGCCCGTGCTAGGGGCAGTGCTAGAGGCCGTACTTGGGACCATGCTAAGGACCGTGCTAGTGGCCATGTTAGAGGCCCTCCCGCCCTGTAAAAAATATCAGGTGATCATCTCGTGTGGTACAGTGTGTTTATATCTTTGTCAGAGCTGAGGTCCGGGAGTTCCTACAGCTGGATCGCTTCCGAGCGTCGACCAGCAGCAGTAGTGACCGCAGTAGCGGGTCGAACAATGGCGTCGTGCTCGACCCCCGCTTTCTCCTGCCTCCAGGAGCCCCTCTTACTGCAAGGTCAGTCTTCAGGTTATAGTTTTAGGTCAGTGACAAGTTTTTAACATCAGTTCGTTGTGATGTACATGTTTTTACTGGGACAATATTTCCTTCACGGTAGAACTTTACAGAGGGAGGTAAATGCTTCCTTGAGAGACTCGCTGTCTCCATACTAACACGTATTCCTTACTGTGTCTTCGCACCTATAAATTACGATATTCATTTTGACTTGAAATATGATGATTTACATATTTCTACACAATATAACTTCAAGAGTGTTATCTATAAGCATACTGTAACTATAATTTTAAATAAAGTTGGCTGTATTGTTTCTCCCGTTGGTGTACAGGAAGCCTCTGGCTGTCAGGACGAAAGGTGCTAAGGGCGAGGTAGTCGAGGCCTCCAGCGAGGCCAATCCTATTGCTCAGACCAACATCGATCTCGGCTGCACCGAGAAAAAGTCGTAAGTGTCTCAGCAGGATGTATCTACCGACAGGTGTACATCCCTTAGTGTATACATTATGATGCATTACTTTAGTCCCCCCTTGTTAGGTGTTAAGTATGTTTGACTTGAGGTTAACATGACAGGTGGCCTTAATGACCCTTTGAGTAAACGATAGGTCTGAAACCCTATTAACCAACTTAGCGAGATAAACTAGCAGAAAGCAAGACACAAATAATTAACATTTCCAGTTTGTGGATTAGTTGTGATTTATTCCAGGCACGATGCTGTGACTTGACGTAGAGCAATGGAACAGTTATTTTATTAGTGAAATAATGAGGAGAGATGAAGAAATACTTCCCTATGGATGCCAAAAAGGTTACCTGGTTAAAAAAAAAAGGACATTAAAGTGCAGCAATGGAAACTTCATCATTAAAAATGTTTCTCTTGTGTTACAGGAGACACATAACTGAGCCTGGAAGGAGGGAGCGAAGCTGCTGGAAGCCTGTGTAACACTGGTGAAACGTTATCAGTGGTAATCTTTTAACTGTAATTTCCTTTCTTTCAACAACTGTACGACCGGGTCGCTATCCTCTCCAGTCTCGTCCAAGTGGCCCTGGAAGGTTAAGTCTCTTACAGAGAATCGAGCTTCTGGACTTCCCACGTAAAAAAAAAAAAAAAAGTAACAAAAATATTCCACAACATTCTGTAACTACTCATTCAGCATTATTGTCATGAGCGGCTAACTTAACCACACCTCCCGTTGTTTCCTTCTTCAGGTTGACGCCGGCTGACTTCGAGTTCCTGAGCGTGGTCGGTAAAGGAAGCTTCGGACGAGTGATGCTTGCCAGGTATCTTCACGACCAGAAGGTCTACGCTGTCAAGGTTGGTCTCAGGACATTAGGGAGGGGAGGAAGGTTATTCAGCGTCTGGGGAATGGGAGGCAATCAGGTTCGATTCAAAGTAAAACAGATCAGGTTCAATTCCCTGGTTCAAGAGCTGCCCATTCACCGGGTTCAGAGAACCCTCCCTCTCGGAGAGGTAATTTATTGCTCTTGGTGTGCTCTTGGTCCAGAGAATTGGAGTTAATATTTTCTTCCTTATATCAAATTTGTTTACCTTTCCTTCTTCAGGCATCGTCTCAACTCTTCGAGTTTAGTGGTTCCATGTATATTTAATAATAATAATAATAATAATAATAATAATAATAATAATAATAATAATAATAATATGCATAGCAAAATTAGAAAACAGACTACTACTTTCAAAAAGCATATAAGAATTTTAAACAATTTTGTTAGGCTCACATCGATTATTAGAAGTTAATTAAGAGACCATTGTGAAAATTGAAATGTAGGAGTTTATTCTTGCAGAGTGTTGACACCTAGTGTTGACACCTAGTGTTGACACCTACTGTTGACACCTAGTGTTGACACCTAATGTTGACACCTAGTGTTGACACCTAGTGAGTGTTGACACCTAGTGTTGACACATAGTGAGTGTTAACACCTAGTGAGTGTTGACACCTAGTGTTGACACATAGTGAGTGTTAACACCTAGTGTTGACACATAGTGAGTGTTGACACCTAGTGAGTGTTGACTCATAGTGATGGTTGACACCTAGTGTTGACACCTAGTAAGTGTTGACACTTAGTGATGGTTGACACCTAGTATTGACACCTAGTGTTGACATCTAGTAAGCATTGACACTTAGTGATCGTTGACACCTAGTGTTGACACCTAGTAAGTGTTGACACATAGTTAATGTTGTTGACACCTAGTGAGCACTGACACCTAGTGAGTAGTGTTGACACCTAGTGAGTGGTGGTGACACCTAGTGAGTGTTGTTGACACCTAGCGAGTGGTGGTGACACCTAATGTGTGGTGTTGACACCTAGTGAGTGGTGGTGACATCTAGTGAGTAATGACACCTAGTTAATGTGTTAGACACCTAGAGATGTTGACACCTAGTGAGTGTTGTTGACACCTAGTGAGTGGTGTTGACACCTAGTGAGTGATGTTGACACCTAGTGAGCGGTGTTGACACCTAGTGAGCGGTGTTGACACCTAGTGATGTTGACACCTAGTGAGTGTTGTTGACACCTAGTGAGTGGTGTTGATGCGTAGTGAGTGGAGTTGACACGTAGTGAGTGGTGTTGACACCTAGTGAGTGTTGTTGTCACCTAGTGAGTGTTGTTGACACCTAGTGAGTGGTGTTGACACCTAGTGAGTGTTGTTGACACCTAATGAGTGTTTTTGACACCTAGTGAGTGTTGACACCTAGTGAGTGTTGTTGACACCTAGTGAGTGTTGTTGACACCTAGTGAGTGGTGTTGACACCTAGTGAGTGTTGTTGACACCTAGTGAGTGGTGTTGACACCTGTCTGTTTCCTCCCCAACAGGTGCTGGACAAGAGATTGATCGTCAGAAGGAACGAGACGGCGCACGTTCTGAGCGAGAGATCTGTTTTGATCAAGATGCTGAACCATCCATACCTGGCGCAGCTTCACTTCGCCTTCACCACTACACACAAGATATTCTTCGTTCTCGACTACATCAACGGGGGCGAGGTAAGGCAGGGACTCAGCTGTAACTTCAGTAACAGCACAAAACTGCAGCGCCAAACCTGTAGCAGCAGCAGCAACACCAGTTGCAGCAGCTACGGGGAAGGGTTGTAAATATAAGCTGTGTATAAATATATTTGTCCAGTCACAGTCATGTCAAACAGTCATCGCTCACTACATAAGCTGTTCTTGCTGTCACCAACAGCTCTTCTTTCACCTACAACGAGAGAGAGTCTTTACGGAGGCCAGAGCCAGGTTCTACGCTGCTGAGATGTGCTGCGCCCTCACCTACATGCACAGTCAGGTAACAGACACGGCCAGGCAACAAACACAGCCAGGTAACAGACACAGCCAGGTAACAGACACAGCTAGGTAACAGACACAGTCAGTTAAAAGACACAGCCAGGTAAAAGACAGTCAGGTAAGATACATAGCCAAGTAAGAGACAGCCAGGTTCAAAGACCGCAACAATCAGAGCCAGACTTAGGAGGTGCGGGCCCAATTGGGAACAATTTTGGTGGGCCCTTTGTATGGAAAGTAATCAAACTGTGCGCTTAAAAAATGCATACGAGTTAATAGACCAAACAGATATAAGTTATACTTTAATATAAACTTACATATATGTGAACCTATAAGTAACAAACAAAATTTGTATACCACCTCTGAAAAGTACATAGTTGCCAACAATGTATCTACCTCATCTGCTAGAAAAATGATAGGATGGATAATGAGAACCTTCAACTCTAGGGACGCCAAGCCCATGATGATTCTCTTCAAATCGCTTGTTCTCTCTAGACTGGAATGCTGCAGTACACTAACTGCCCCCTTCAAGGCTGGCGAAATTGCTGACCTGGAGAATATACAGAGAACTTTCACGGCACACATAAGTACGGTAAAACACCTAAATTACTGGGAACGGTCGAAGTCTCTTGATTTGTATTCTCTGGAACGCATGCGAGAAGGATGCATGATATTATGCACTTGAAAAATCCTAGCTGGATTAGTACCAAACCTACACACGAAAATCACTTCCTACAAAAGCAAAAGATTCGGCAGGAGATGCAACATTCCCCCAGTGAAAAGCAGGGACGCCACGAGTACACTAAGAGACAACATAATATGTGTCAGGGGTCCAAGACTGTTCAACTGTCTCCTAGCATTCATAAAGGGGATTACCAATAGATCCCTGGCTGTCTTCAAGAAGGCACTGGACACTCGCCTAAAGTCATTACCTGACCAGCCAGGCTGTGGTTCGTACTTCGGTTTACGTGTGGCCAGCAGTAACAGCTTGCATGATCAAACCCTGTTCCACCACAAGACCTGGTCTCAGACCGGTCTGCGGGGATGTTGACCCCCGAAACCATCTCCAGGTAAACTCAAAGTAACAGACAAAGCCAGGTAACAAACAAACACAGCCAGGTAAGAGATACAGTCAGGTAAACACAGCCAGGGAATAAAGAAACACAGTCGAGTAGAAAAAGAAAGCCAACTAACATACAAACACAGCCAGGAAACAAACACAGCCAGGTAACAAACAAACACAGCCAGGTAACAAACAAACACAGTCAGGTAACACACAAATACAGCCAGGTAACAAACAAACACAGCCATGTAACAAACACAGTCAGGTAACAAACACACCCAAGTAACAAACAGACAAAGTCAGGTAAGAAAGAAACACAGCCAAGTAACAAACAAACACAACCATGTATCAAACAAACACAGTCGTGTAACAGACACAACCAAGTAACAAGCAAACACAGCCATTTAACAAACAAACAAAACAAAATAACAATCAAACACGTCCATTTAATAAACAAACACAGCCGTGTAACAAACACAGCCATGTAACAAACACAACCCATGAAAAAACGATCGTACATTATTAAATTACAAAAAACACTGATATGTTGATTATTAAGTTTTTCACACGATGAATAAAGTTACTGAAGGTTTGTTTTAGTGTTCTTCTGATGCGTCATCTTCCGCTCAATATTAACCTCTTCTTATGTTTGAGGCTCATTTATATACAGTCTTACTATGACAAAAATATCGAAAGAGATCCGTCAGTGTGAGCCCCATTTGTGTGCTCGATGATCACAGAAATATAAAGAAAAGCAATGGGTTTCAATAATAATAATAATAATAATAATAAATAATAATAATAATAATAATAATAACAGAGACTTGTCAGCGTCTGATGGTCTCACTACTTGTCCTACGGTGAGTTAGGTTAAGTAAGGTTTGTCAGGAAACAGGACAAGTGTTTCCTGACGCGGGTCTTAGTCATATGAAGATCCACAGCTGGAGCTTCTGGTCATCTGACCGAGACTTTCCACTGGCTTACCAGTCTACCCGTTTAAAAATTACGGCTATAATTATAACCATCTATTCTCCCGTGAGTGTTAGCTCTGAGAAGCAACTCTCTGGTTTATTCTCCAACTCTTTGAAAATTCAGACCATTCTTGAAATTTTGCATTTTTTTTTTTTGCATCATTCCTATTTCCATGGATTAAAATGTTCTTAACTGGTGTTGCACAGATGATTTGCAGCCTTAATGACTCTGAGTAGTTGATACACTATAACCCCAAATTACCAACAAAACGTTTCAGGGGGAAGAGCCGAGACGAAACCTTCCCTCCTTTCCCCCTTTCTTCCTCATAATGAACATTACAACGTTTCAGGGGATCGTATACCGAGACCTAAAGCCTGAGAACATCCTCCTGGATGCCGCGGGTCACATCGTACTGACAGACTTCGGGCTGTGTAAAGAAGGTCTCCAGTACTGCTCTTCGAAGACCGCTACATTCTGCGGCACACCGGAGTACCTAGCTCCTGAGATCCTCAAGAAACAGGTACTAGAGCTGGAACAACCACTTGGTATGACAGGTTGATCGACCTGCAGCTAGGTGATTAGGGATCGAGCTTCAGGTACCAGTCCTGAAACAACCAAACTCGCTCAGCACTTCGTGGGGGAAAACACAGTAACACTGTGTTACATAATAATTTATAAATAATAATCATAATAATAATAATAATAATAATAATAATCTTTATTTTTACAAGTACATGATACAACTTATACAGACCTAGTTAGCTAGGTCAGTGACATACCATATAGAAATCCCCTTGTTACGCAGAGCATTTCGGGCAACTTTGGTTAATTTTTGTAACCCAGGGAGCTACCCACACCGGTCAGCTAACACCCAGGTACCTATTTACTGCTAGGCGAAAAGGGGCAGCAGGTATCTCAAATGTCTCCACCCGTACCGGGGATCGAACCACGGACAAAACCGTACTCAGAGCTTCATCACAGTTTGATGAAGCTCTAGACAGAGCTCTACAAAGAGTGGAATATTGTGCCCACAAATAAGATTGCTTTGCAACTTGTGTTTTTCTTCAAATTCTCTTTTATTTTTAAAGCTTTGCTGAATCATCCATAGCAGCTAATGCTTTTTGCTTAATGTAATATTGAAAATACCAAATAATAATAATAATAATAATAATAATAATAATAATAATAATAATCTATGTACATATATACTATAATCTTCATTTATTTTCTATGCTAACTTCTTCGAAGTTAGTATAGTAAATAAATGAACTCTCTTATGTAAACATATTACATATGCTATGTGTAATATATTACTGTAACGTGTTAACATGTTAACTGTCACTTGTAGTGTTAACATGTTAACTGTCACTTGTAGTGTTAACATGTTAATTGTCACTTGTAGTGTTAACATGTTAACTGTCACTTGTAGTGTTAAGATGTTAACTGTCACTTGTGGTGTTAACATGTTAACTGTCACTTGTAGTGTTAACATGTTAACTGTCACTTGTAGTGTTAACGAATTATCAGTAACCGAATTATCACAATTTTGGTTTTAAGACTGTTTACTTGTTCTTCCATTGTTAACATCGAAGGATGGGGGAGGAGATGCCTTGATGCTCTAGCAAAGGGTTCTTGATTCAAGGAACTGGAGTTACCCCTTTTTCGCTTTCTTCCTTAAATCAATCCTGTTCACTCGCAATCCTCCCCAACCCAGAGGGGAATCCTGTTAAGCAGCTGCCTCCACCTCCCCCTCACTCCATGATAACTCATCCTCCTACACTGCTCAGCTGTACTCGCGAGCTGTGGACTGGTGGACGCTGGGAGCCGTTCTGTACGAGATGCTGTACGGCCTTCCGCCCTTCTACTCTCGTGACACGCCCACCATGTACGACGCTATTCTCAACAAGCCTCTCAAGCTCAAGAACACCGTCACAGAGAAGGCCAGAGACATACTGAAAGGGGTAGGTAGATCTCGCCCGAGAAAGTAACAGCAATTTCTCTCTCTTCCTCACGAGGTTCAGTTATACACTGAGATTTTTTTTTTTGTGTATGTGAGAGAAAAAAATGCATACCAAAATTAATAAGCTCGCTGAAAGGCTTCCATATTAATCACTTTTCCATTCTAGATCAATTTTTTTTATCACATTTACGGAAGAAACATACTATATAGTGTAATTTTACTGCATACTTTACCCACCAAAGAAATATTTGTGTAAAGACGCTCATGGAGAAGAGGACACCTTGCTTTTCCTTGTTTACTACGTTCTTCTCACTAGCAGTTGTATCAAGTATAAAGAATATACATAACCACCAGTGTATGAAATAATGGTCAGGCGAAGGTGAGGTGAGATAAGGTGACTCCAGACTTCACCTGGCCAGACACACTTAAAATGTGTCAGTTCTGTTAAAAACTTGAGCAAAAGGGTTTGAAATCCAGAAGGGAAAGATTTTTAAGCATCATTGTGTGTGTATATTGTATCTTATTAGTCCTCCTCATTCCTCAATGTCTGTGTCTCCAGCTCCTGCAGAAGGACCCCAGGAACCGCCTGGGCTCCAGTATACGTGACGGGGAAGACATCAAGAGCCATGACTTCTTCAAGACCATTGACTGGGACCTGGTGAGCAGGCGAGGCATATCTCCTCCCTTCGTCCCCACTGTGGTGAGTAGACATCCCCGTCACAATAAAGGTTTTGTCTATCGCGGAGATCATTTTCAATGAAAATAATTCGTATGATTATAATAATTAATTTTCTTCAAAAAATTAAAGAAAATATTATAGGCATTACATAAATTTTAACCTTAGTTTTAAGGGATTAAGTTTTCCTGACTGATGGTAACTAGGTGACATACTTCACTTAATGACCCTTGTGTAGTCGCAGTCTTAATGACTCTTGTGTAGTCCCAGTCTTAATGACTCTTGTGTAGTCCCGGTCTTAATGACCCTTGTGTAGCCCCAGTTTTAATGACCCATGTGTAGTCCCAGTCTTAATGACCCTTGTGTAGTCGCTTTACTTAATGACCCTTGTGTAGTCGCTTTACTTAATGACCCTTGTGTAGTCGCTATACTTAATGACCCTTGTGTAGTCGCTATACTTAATGACCCTTGTGTAGTCGCTGTACTTAATGACCCTTGTGTAGTCGCAGTCTTAATGATCCTCGTGTAGTCGTAGTCCTAATGACCCTTGTGTAGTCGATTTACTTACTAACCCACGTGTAGTCGCACTACTTAATCACTCTCCTGTAGTTGCTTTACTTAATGACCCTCGTGCAGTCGCTTTACTTAATGATCCTCGTGTAGTCACAGTCTTAACGACCGTCGTGTAGTCGATGTTTTAATGACCCTCGTGTAATCCCTGTCTTAACGACCCTAGTGTAGTCACTATCTTAATGATCCTCGTGTAGTCAGCCTTAAAAACCCTCGTGTAGTCGAAAGGATTTAACTGGAAGAGGATTGTCCAATGGGTGAGTGACCTGGAGAAGCAGAACGATGGTCTATATACTAGGAACTCCAGTGAAGAAAAATGTGATGTCATAACTGTCTAGTTTCTTGTTCTTGACATTGGTGTCCTTAACCCTGTCTAGCAAATCACCTTCCATCAGCTTCTACTTCTTTGTCTGTATTGGACCGAAAAAGTTTCCTGGAGAGCGAGGCGCCTTTGTAAGAAATGTCATAATACAGTTTTTGTATTTTATTCACATAAGACTTGTGTATTTCTCAGTGTCTAGACACTCAATGGTGAGTAAATCTCAATATTGTACCGAGAAGTGTTCGTGTTACTCATTGTATATACGCTATACAGCGATATAGGTGAGTACAAATAGGAAGCGCGTCTGTCAGGCGCTCAGTAGACGGAGGATCAAGCCTTCACCACGTCTAGCGCTGAATGACCCACATGGGTTAAGGAATGGTCCCAAATCTGCACACAGAAATAACTCCCTACGAAAGTAAAAGACTGGGCAGGCGATGCAAAATGCCCCCAATAAAAAGTAGGGGCGCCATTGGTACACTAAGGGAAAACACCATAAGTGTCCGGGGCTCAAGACTGTTCAACAGCTTCCCATCAAGCATTAAGGGAATTGCCAATAAACCCCTGGCTGCCTTCAAGAGAGAGCTGGACAGATACCTAAAGTCAGTGCCGGATCAGCCGGGCTGTGGCTCGTACGTTGGACTGCGTGCGGCCAGCAGTAACAGCCTAGTTGATCAGGCCCTGATCCATCGGGAGGCCTGGTCATGGACCGGGCCGCGGGGGCGTTGATCCCCGGAATAACCTCCAGGTAACCAGGTAACCATTGTATATACACTAAGAGTAACTTTTTTATCCCTATATCAGAGAATAAAGCATTCTTAAATGCTAGCTTGCAGATGACTTGCAGCCTTAATGAGCCTCGTGCAGCCTTAATGAACCCCGTGCAACTTGAATGAACCCCGTGCAACTTGAATGAACCACGTGCAGCCTTAATTAACGAATTACAGCGGATAGGCTTACAAACCTAACAGACTGTTGCGGCTCTCCAGGCGCTGCATGACTTTCCCTCCCCGTCCTGACGGGCTTAACATTTTTCCCATGAATATAATAAATGTTGTTCTCCTTCACAGAACGGCGAGGCTGACACGAGAAACGTGGATCCCATGTTTACGAAGGAGGCGCTGCTGGGACACTCCCCGGCTCCAAGCGGTCTCTCCGCTTCCGTGCAGGCCGTAGACCACGTCTTCCAGGGCTTCAGCTACGCTCCTCCGCTGGAAATCGAAACACAATGATGAGTTTTCTCATCTCGAGGGGAAAAAAATATCCCGACTATTTGATTAGTCAAGGTTCCAGCCTTCGCTACTTTCGTTGAACGACCAGCAAGGTTTAGCAGGCGGAAGATCGTACATCTAGTGCATTTTCACGTTGAATGATCCATGTAGGTTTACCGCATCACATAACTATATTAAATAATAATGGTGGCGCGAGAATGAGTGATCCGGTGAGTAATGGTGGTCCTGTGAGGTCCTTGAGACGCATGCTGTGGTCCGTGGGACGTAGGCTGTGATCCCTGAGACGCATGCTGTGGTCCGTGGGACGTAGGCTGTGATCCCTGAGGACGCATGCTGTGGTCCGTGGGACGTAGGCTGTGATCCCTGAGACGCATGCTGTGGTCCCTGGGACGTAGGCTGTGATCCCTGAGGACGCATGCTGTGGTCCGTGGGACGTAGGCTGTGATCCCTGAGACGCATGCTGTGGTCCGTGGGACGTAGGCTGTGATCCCTGAGACGCATGCTGTGGTCCGTGGGACGTAGGCTGTGATCCCTGAGACGCATGCTGTGGTCCGTGGGACGTAGGCTGTGATCCCTGAGACGCATGCTGTGGTCCGTGGGACGTAGGCTGTGATCCCTGAGACGCATGCTGTGGTCCGTGGGACGTAGACTGTGATCCCTGAGACGCATGCTGTGGTCCGTGGGACGTAGGCTGTGATCCCTGAGACGCATGCTGTGGTCCGTGGGACGTAGGCTGTGATCCCTGAGACGCATACTGTGGTGAACTCTAGCTCATGTCCCATCAAAGCAGATATCAATTAATCTTATTAGGCCGGAGTGGTGTTAGTGGTCAGAGCTCTTATATTTGTGGTTCCCTTTCGTTTATATATGACAGTGAATGATGCCGAAACATAAGTCAGCATGAGACTTAATGAAGCTTTAAGTGTAACTGGAGAAAAAAAAGTCAGCTGGAATAGTGAACGTTTTGCAAAGCATAATTTTCGTTGAAACTTGAGAGAGTTGAATTAAAATTTATAGTAAAACCAATTTTTTAATGTAATGCTGTTCACTGAAATGACAAGATGAAAGACCTCATAAATTATGAAGTTGTGTGTAGAGGAGGTTTGTGGTGACCATTACTGGAGAAGAATGTTATTGGTGTTGCTGCTTGTGTTGTTATTGTTGTTGTTGCTGCCGCTGTCTCTGCTGCTACAGCAACAATAACAATGACAACAACTTCAACAACACGTACTGCTACTACTACCACTACTACAGTTATGATTGTTACTAGTATTACTACTACAACTACTGCTGCTGCTACTACATCTGCTACTACTGTTGCTATGACTACTATTACTGCTGCTACTACTCCTGATGCGGCTGCTACTATTATTACAACAACTACTGTTACTACTGCTACTAAGACTACTTCTACTACGGCTGCTACCATGACTACTACTACTACTACTACTACTACTACTACTACTACTACTGCTACTACTACTACCACCACCACCACTGCGACTACAATGCGTGTGATATAATGTACGAAAACCCTCGGATGTGTCGTTATAACCCTATAACAAAGAGTATTTTATTTAAAAGAAACGATAAACCTTTATGGAGTCATTCAGCGCAAGGTGTGATGGAAGCTCGGTCCTCCGTCTGGTCAGCACCAAACAGTGTGGGTTCCTAGCCAAACCTAGTCAGTCGTCAGTCGGCCAGGATCTCTGGAGCTGAATACCTGAAGACCCGATCTCACCTGCAGTCTAGGACACGTGAGATCAGGAGAAAAACATGAGATTTTAAACTCGCAAGGGACAGAAAAAAGGTTGTGTGTGAGTATGACATACATATCATGGGCTAGTAGGCCTACTGCAGTGTGTAGGTCAAGCCTAGCATTAACCAGTAGGCCAACTGTAGCGTTGCTTCGATGCGATGTTCGTGTGCAGGACATAAAAACTGGCTCAAACGAACACGTATCAAATGATTACCTACCCAAAAGCTGGAGCTGCGGGACATCATACGTGTGACTAAAACCAGCGTCAGGAAACACTTGTTATCTTTCCCGACACACCTTACCTAACCTAACCTAACAAAACTGGAGTTTTATGGTGAGAGAAAACTGCATACGACGTGATTCACTCAATCCAACCCTTGCAACCAGGTGGAAGTTTAGAAGAACGAGTGGTGAGCCTTCCCTGATACTGTTAACCCAATTACTGAAGCTTAAAGCTCTATTTATTGTGAAGTGTTGCTAATGTCAGGCTGTTGCTAGTCCCAGGGTGTTGCTGCTCCCCAGGGTGTTGCTGCTCCACAGGGTGTTGCTGCTCCCAGGGTGTTGCTGTTCCCAGGGTGTTGCTATTGAGAGGGTGTTGCTGCTCCCCAGGGTGTTGCTGCTCCCAAGGTGTTGCTGTTACCAGGGTGTTACTATTCACAGGGTGTTGCTGCTCCCTGGGTGTTTGCTGCTCCCAGTATCTTTTACCCTTGTGACTGTGATATATAACAAACGATGTATTAAAAAGTGGCATCAAATTAGCAATATAAAACACTTTTCAATCTAAAGAATAACTCTTTAGGTGGAAACGTTGTTCATCAGAGGTTTACTCTTCAGCGGGAAAGAGATGAGTGAGCAAATGGCCAAAAATAAAGACATTTATTTTGGAGACGTTTTGGTCTTGGCACCCTTGAACACAGGTCACAAATAGGAGACGTTTCTCTCTTACTGACCTACGTTTTTACACTGCTGGTTGTCCACCGTCTTCCCCTCCATCCTTCACGGCACAGTACCTAAATGTAAATCAACATACATATATGCACACTTCAAAATATTTATTGAGGAGACATTTCACCACGAGTCGCTTCTTCAAGACTGGAAAAATACTCGCAGAGAAACGTTTACCCCCCCCCCCTTAATAAGTGTCTTGAACCTGTGTGTGTCTGTCTACTTACTGTACGTTTCACCCCCATCTGTTCTCCCGACGATGTTCTGCCCAAGCAGTGAGCTTTATCAAGTCAAAATTATTATTCTTTGGTACTTGGTATAGAACCGTCATTATGTGATGGTTGTGTACCAAGTCGAGGTGAAGACTCGGACAGTTTGCTGCTGCGGTGCCGTGAACCTCAGTGATTATCAGAGAACCGAACTTGAGTTTCCTCTTCCCCAAGACGTGTGATAATACAATACGATAAAATGAAGCTTTGTGTAAAGAGAAAATTAATAAAAAGATTCTTTTTTATAAAAA